ATAACGATTTTTCATAAGATAAAGCCAAGTATACCGAGAATGGTCATCCATAAAAATAACAAAATAGCGAGAACCACCCATGGTGGGAGTGGGAGATGTTCCCCATATATCCGAGTGAATGAGATAAAAAAAGAGCATGAGATACAAAATCACTAGTATGAAAAGGTAAAGCATGATGTTTTCCCATCTTACAGGGTAGACAGTCAAAATGTGTAGTGTCAACAGAACCTAAATGACCACTTGAAATTAAAGAGCTTAACCTAGAAGAAGAAGCATGACCTAACCAAGAATTCTAAGTTTCAGATGACACTGTGGCAGCACAAGCAGCAAAAGAGATCGGAATATTTAGGGAAACAAGCTCAAAGAGACGCCCCACTTTACGGCTTGTCCCAAGTGTTTGTCCCGTCCGAGGATCCTGCACATGACAACCATGAGAAGAGAAATGAATATCAAGACCAAGTTCACACAATTGGCCGACAGAGATCAAGTTGAGTGAGAGTTTAGGAACCAAGAAGGTATTAGTTAAAGATAATATCGATGTGGAAATATTTCCTGTATGACTAACTCTCATATGTGAATTATTGGCAATAAGAATATGAGGTGCATGTGAAGCGGAGAATTTAGACTGAAATAAGGCAGAGTTGGATGTCATGTGATTGCAACAAGCAGAATCAAAGAACCAAGAATCAGAAATACCTAGAGCAGTAGACATAGCAGAAGTGCTAGGAATAGGAGGGGTAAAGGTACCAGATTCTCGGAGAACGGTGCGAAGATCCTTTAGGGACACTAGTGTGGGGGACGATCCATGGGAAGAAGCTTCGACAGTGGTAGCATTGGTAGATGGACGAATAGAGGGACCTCGGCTACAAGATTGAGTGATCGATCCCGTGGATTGCATAGGTCGTAGCCGATAACAATTTGATGCCAAATGACCGTGTCGGCGACAGTGTTTGCAAAATGGGCAGCGCATGGAGGAAGAACTTGAAGTGGCAAGTACTGCATCTGTAGGTGTGGATATGGGGACAGTAGAATGTTGCGTTTTCAAGGTAGCCAGCCAAGTCTCCTCATTCATTAAATCTGATATAACTGTCTCAATAGAAGGAAAATGATCTCTATGGAGAATGGAGGCTCTCACAGGTTCAAACTCATCATTCAGAGCCATAAAAAATTACATGACACGAATACGATCATGATGTTCAGTAACTCTGCGAATATTTCCATCCCCTTCCAAGCGCGGTTCACACAAGGTCAACTGATCCCAAATAGCATGCATAGATGATAGAAAATCATTAATGGACTGACCTGGCTACTGACGCATGTGATATAAAGTCCCTAACAACCGATACCGATGGGCAACATCTGAACTAGAATAACGACGATCAAGAAGATCCCAAGCTTCCTTTGCTGGCGCGTGCAGCTGGGGGAGGCGCGTGCATCTCATGCGCAAAATGTTGAGCAGCGCATGAGGGCGCGTCCAGTGGAGGAAGACGGCAAAACTTGATTGGACGACTCGATTGAGGGCGGCAAGTCGTGGGTTGGTGTTGGTTTTTGGAGAAACACGGCGGAGGATGTCCAAATCACCACCGAACAGCGGTGGGCTACCCGGGTCCGAGGCGCGGTGGCACGTGGCGGTGCGTGCAACGGCGTCAGGCGGCTGTTGGTGATGAAATTTTAGGACGTGGGTCGTCTGAGGGCGGCGAGTCTGCTGGTGGTCTCGATTTTTTGAAATGAGCAGCGGAAGTATGCCGAGCAGTGACGAAAAGCTTCGGTCTTGTTGGAGAACCGGGGCGGCGTGGCCGGTGTAGCTAGCGTCATGGCGGCCACGATGTGGCATACTCGATGGGCGCTCCTCAGGTAATAATAGCTTTGATACCAAGTTGAGATATGTGAATTTTATGTATTTACCTTGCTTGAATGAGAACTACAAATCCCTTTATACAGGGCAAATGTGAACAGTAAAAAGAGAATAGTAAATCTTATGAACAGTAAATACTAATTTCTAAATTATATATTATATCTAACATGGAGTAAAGTTCCTCCAACAAGTGATTAGTTAGCGTGATATGGGTGTGATAGTTTAGTGTATCACTATCAATCATGATAAGTTTTTTCTTCTCTTCGCTTCTTGTTCTTGTTGTCACTTCAATTTCGCTCTACATGACAAAAAAAAAAGGGTTGCTTCGTTTTTTTGGCTCCAACCGTGGTTCAAGTAAGAGCATTTTTTCTTCTTTTATTTTAATTTGTTTATTTAACCCACTTCGATTGATCCACTTCCTCATAAGGGCGCACTCCCTCACACAGGTTTGGTGCATTCAAAATCTTACTCCTAAAGTACGAGTAAGAGCATTTCTGGCATACATAGATGAGGCAAACAAGATGCAAATCTTTAAAGGAAAAAAAACTAGGGGAAAAGAAAACTTCTCGAGCACGAATTATAGACAGGCTGGGTTGCAAAACATCCTAACAAAATCCAAGAAATCATAGGTTGGCATGAAAGCTGGACTCAAAATCAGGCATTTTCTTCTTTACGTGTGTATAAGGTGATGGACTTAAGGGTGATGAACAGCAAGCCAATTAGTCTTCGAACATGATTCGATGTAATCTCACATGAGATTGGGCCAAACCGGGAATTTTGGTTTTTTGAATTTGGTTTGTCTAGGAAATTCATAAGACCAAAAAGCCTCTTGTAAACCTAATGGGAATCCAGGTCTGATGTAATATCATTTCGTTTTTGGTTTTGGTTGGGTTATTATGTGCATGAATTTTTTCACTCACAGTGAAGTAAATAATTTTCTGTGCATAACACACGCACACACGTGTATATTATGACATAATAAATTGGCTGGCTTTCGTGTATTTGTGTACTGATTTGGGTTTTCGATTTTATCACGTTTTATCTTTCTGCTGGATTGCATTGCGACCCAGGTTTCAGCAACATGAAGATAGCTTATTTCTAGGAACTTGTGTTTTGACTTATTGATCAAATTCGTCAGGTAAAGGAAACGTCTTATCAAATAAGTTAAACTCCTTACACGGTTAGGAAGAAACCCACGACCAAGACCTCTCTCTCTCTCTCAAATAATTCTTAATACCCCTATAAAATATATATACACACATGTGTTTTTAGGCAGGGGCGAACAGGAAAAGGGGCGGCGGGACCATTCAATAAAAAACTACTATGGATAAGGGTGGTGGCGGAGAGGCCAGAAAGGAAGAAATAACCACCGTGGAAGTACTTTTATTAAAATTAAAGTGAGCGGCGGGATTAAAATATCCCAGTTGTATTTAAAGACCCCACAACAGACACGTACGGTTATCTCATCTTACATCCCGCACCTATATGGCCAAGGCCATATTCCGCAATACAAGCTTAATGTGGAGTAAAAGCCGGCGCCCGATAGAACACCGGTGCGCGGAGTCAAATCCCGGTGTACCGTGTTTCGATAGTACTAAACTTTCCGCGAGCAAACTCCGGTTGGTACAATCACGTGATTTTAGATCAAACACCACAGCCCTTCATTAAAAGCAAGCCATTCGTTTTTCCTTAAACGTTACAACTAACAAGCGTTTACTTAGGCAAAGTCCTCAATTGTTGTTTAAGTGGCTTATTATTCAAAAAAGTAGAGCAACTAACATAATTCATGAGGCCGTGATCGATGACCGAACTTCCCTTCCACCAATACTCGGAGCTTATATATGTTCTGTTGCCCGGGCATCAATGGTGGACCCAAAAGAAGGAACCGGTTGAAGTCGCCGCCCCTTGGGCACTTGATGCCCAAGATTACTATTATTATTGTTATTATTATTATTATTATTATTATTCTCGTTATTGTAGTTGTTGTTGTTATTTTTTGTAACACAAGGGTACAAGCGTAGATGCCTGACTACCTAAAGATTATGAAACACTTTAAAAACCTTAAGATCAGTTTGCATTCGATTGGAGGGATTTGAATATATGACCTTCGGTTCATAAATTGAAAGTTCTCTAAAATCTTTTTTTTTTATAATGTAGTAGCTCAAGAACAGAGGCCCAGTTATTCGGAGCCCATAGAACATCGGGAAAACTTCATGAATCGGTTCAAACTAATCCTTTGAATTATGCATGAAGTCTTGATCCAGAGTAGTTTGTACGTGATTGTTGGAATTTGAATAGGTGATGACTTCACTTCCTAAGCCTAAAAACTATATATATACAAGAACCTTTTAGAAAAATGATTGAGCCTTGAATTTGTGGAATAATTTTATATCTAAAAGTCACCCCCATCGATGCATCAACCCCATATTATTTGGACAACCCTGGTCAAATCACCCTTTCTTTTTATCCCTTTCCTTTTAACCTTTTTCTTGATTTTCCCAATCTACCCTTTCCCCTTCCCCTTCCCCTTCCCCTTCCAGCTATGGTCACGGCCGACGCTCGAGTTAGCAATTGTTTTTGTGGACAGGGAGGCAGAGACATAAGGCGAGGGCAACTATCGGGGCAAGGGCGACAATTGGGTTGGGCAGGCAACGGCGGCATGGTTCGGGTGGCGACAGAGGAGCGCCGCATCTGTGGGCAAATCAGGGGAGGGAGACGTTTCCGGTTGGGCACTGGTTTGGCGTAAATTCATTGACAAAGCAGGGGTATTGTGGTCTTTCTGTGCCTCCTAACTGAAGCACTAAACGCTCTACTTACCTCAACAACAGAGTTTGTCTCCGATTTATTCTTCACTCTGATATCTCTTACAAGGTTTGCACTCTTTTTTTAAGATATACAAACGACTCTTTTGCGACTCTAAAGCAGAAAGGAACTAAAGAAAACACAACGAAGATCCAGCGGATCTATTAAAGTCCGCGTACAACCGTGTTGCTCACCAGTTCACACCATTCTTTTCATACTCGTCCCCACATCAAACCATTCTCTGTCCTTTTTCTCTACCACCGCGTTATCTTACCAAGTTTCCCATCCAGGATATAAACTCTCTGAATTCTGCTCATTCTCTCTCAGATCATACAACCCACAACAGCTTTTTGATCACTTTGCACACATTTCATAGCTTCATCGCTCACTCATAAACTCTATCTAAATATCAACTAAGGGAGCCCCGAAAAATGCCCAAGGCAAGCAAGTCCAGCGTCTCTTGCCGGGCATGGAACCTCCTGCGAATCGCACTGCTCTGGGCAAGGCTGGGCGGGGCGTTCAAGCAGCAGCTCCGCCTGCTCGTGCCCAAGTTCCTCAAGACCAATGGCCACGCAGCGTCCCCTCGCAGCCCCATCTGGTACGGCGAGCGAGAGCTCTCCTTCGAGAAGACCCCAGTTGTCCACGTGAAGATGCACCGCCCTGGGTCAATGAGGTTCATGTTCCCGTGCATCAACCGTAAAGTCGATTTGGATATGGAGTTCGATGACGAGGATTGTGATGGAGTTTATAATGGATATGATACAACGAAGAAGAGCTTATTCCTAAAAAATGCGGATGAGAAAGAGTGCTTTTATGACGACAATGGGAGGATCGAATGTGAGGAGGAAGAGCGCGGGATCGACTCAAGAGCGGAGGAGTTCATAGCCAAATTCTACGAGCAAATGAAGCTGCAAAGGCAGATGTCGTACCTTCAGTACAATGAGATGCTGAACCGAAGCGCGAGTTAAATAGATAATCCTCCGGCATTGATAACTTTCGTACCCCATTCCAATTTCCGTCGATGAGTTGTTTCCGGGACAGAGTCGCGGACTTTTGTATACAGCGCGAGATCTCCAGAGTTGCATTGATTCTTTTTTCAGTGCTTTTGTTTTGCAATTAAAAAATGCAGTCACACACTGATACACAACTCATAAGTTAGTAAGAAGAGAGAGCGAAGAAAATTTTACCAAGTCATTGGCACATTCAGTCAGAGAATTAGACAGTCACCTGATTTGGCAGACATGACTTGGACCATAGTGACTCCGTTCTGTTCCAACAGTTGAAATTTATCATGCGGCGACCGAAAATGGAAGAGGCAGATCATTATTTTTGAAATATGGGAAAACAAGAATGAGGGCATCAAATGTACGTGTCCAATAAAGTGTTCGTCAGCTATGTCGTAAAATTATTTTCCATTGAGTATGCACTACATATGTCATACATTTTACCCTGATTTATACACATTGATTTATTATCCATGTGTTCCTTATTGCATCCAATCCAATCACCACAAACTCAACGCAGTCCTCTCAAAAGTGAGAGTAGAAGCGCATTCCCATGCATTACATGACAAAGCATTGGTGGTTGGGTCAACTTGAAACTAGCCAGACCTGCCTTGGCCTCTTTTGCAAAGTCAAACATAGCCCATTTTCTCAAAGAAAGTACAAAGTTAACTCGAATAGGAGGGCCTGAGGGTTTAGACTCTTCTCGGTGTTGAACTTGGTTTTGGCTTAATGAGTCTATAGAAATGATATTACTTAATTTATACATAAAAAAGAATGTAATTGGTGAGGAAATATTCAAAGTAGTTCTGTTAAATTACCAAGAATATACGCAGGGGACTACAATGGTATGTATCACTTTCTTCTTTTACTAGTAGCATAAGTTTTAAATGATCTTACAAAATTTTACACCTGATCCCCTAATCTTTCAAGTATTAGACACCCCCTTGAAGTTTGGAGAAATAAACATGTTTTCTTTCATTCATTAATACAATAAATACTAAAATAAAAACTCCAGGGTCATCTTTTCCATATCAATGATCATGTGAATGATAACATCAGGTTTCCCACCAGCCAAAAGAGTTGTGACTGAGTTTTGGATTTTGGAATTGCGAGACTTGTTTGAGTTTCTATTTAGAAAATTAAATAGGGTTTGGATTTTGTTGATTCCTAAATGAAACTTGAAATTAGCTGGTTACATCGCTTTAAAAAAATTAGTATTATTATGTTTCGTCGAAAAAAATCGACAAAGTACCTTTCAAAAGATGGGCTGATGAACCAACCGGCGAAGGATATTATGGCTCCTTTGCTGATTCTTGTACAAGAAATGTGAACTGACGCGAAAATTAAAAGTACTAAGACTGGAGGCAATTGCGACCAATCATGTAAATGCGTATTGGAATGTGTTGACACCAAAAGAAGAATCGGCATAAGTGCCTAATCGGCTTTAATGCCGAATATGGTGTGTAATGGAAATCAACCATTTGCCGAAACACGTCTAGACCAAATTCGGAAACATGTTGAGAAGCAAGTGTGAATGGTATCGTGTCCCGAATTCGGTAGTTGATGAAAATGGGTATACTTACCGAAATATGGAGAGTTATAGTTCAGGACATTGGAATATTTATACCTCAGGACAATGATACTTTCCAGAAATTCGGGAGGTTCACGCTTCGAGAATGCACTGAAGAATCACAGTCCAATCACGTAAATCACGACAGCAAAGAAGTTACGAGCAGATGTGTGGATAGTGAGCACGAGCATATCATGGGAAGTTACTTGTCCAGATTTGAAATCATCTTAGCGGTTGAGATCAAGTTTTGGCGGACAACAAAACTAAAAAACGTGGTTAGAAAGGCAGTTATTGGAAGCGCCAAAATATTCAAAGTTTGAAAACATGGAAGTAACCGACGAGCAATTGCAGGACAGGGGGAGATACAAATACTCAAAGGAAACAAAGAAGGAAGACACGACTAACAACAATGCAAAAACATTTAAGCTTATCTGCACTTTAGTTTCCTATGCATCTTTACTTCCTGTATTTACAGCTTCCTGTAGCTCTAATTAACTTTCGAGTCATTTACAGCTTTCGTAGGAGTATTGTAACGTAACTTGAAACTCTGTTTAGTCCAGATCCATTTTCAATCCATCAGATTTCTATCCATTCCATACAATCCTGTGTTACACTTTACGTTTCACCACAACTCTCCTAGTAGTCAAACCACAGAACCTACCTTAATAAAAACAGAAGATCGAAATTTCGGTGAAGGATATTCCTCGTCGTAAAACGAGCGAATAGAATGTAAAGATAACAAGAAGATAATATTGAACAACTGGTGTTCACCGATTGATTGGTCATCCCTTTTTTGAATTACAATCTTAATACTCATAGTGACTAGCGACAGTTAACAATAGTTACAAAGAAAACAAATAACATCCTACATGACTTCTAAAATTTAGCAACATGTATTTACAAACAGTTACCAAAAGACCCACTACTCGACCATCATGGCCTCATCACTCGCCCCGCATTCTTCAATTTCTTCCGCAGCTTGCAACTCCTCCTCTTCACAATTATGACAGCTCATATTTCTTGGCCATTATTATTCATGGCTTTCTAGAATTATGGCTTCACGATCTGATGATCGTGCTAGCTTCACGATCGAATGGGTCATTATGGTTGTACTCAAGACTGTTGGCTTCATGACTTTAACACTTGTCTAGTCCTTAATTTATCGATCTTCACCTCCAGCTTCAATTCATTCATTGGCCAAATTAAATCTTGTTCCCCAACGTTCGTGGCTCAACACTTAGTAATTTTCTCTTGCATCACCTTTCTGCAACTTCTCATCGCGTTTGTCAATTGCCCATAGTTGCCAATCCAAAGGACTAAGCAAATTTTACCTCAATCATATCCTACTCGATCTCCTCCAATCCGAGTCAACAGGGACTTGGGCATTTTTTTCTGTCAACATATCTAAAGCACACATTTTTATTTTACTAACCATATTATATATGTATAAGTTAACAGATTTATTTATTAAAACTAATAAAAGACATATAAATAGATAGGTTCCAGGAAGAATTTTTGGAGTCCCTTAAACATAAGTGGACAAGTTTGAGACACCATCTATAACTTCTTGGATTTCAATCGAATTCGGTTATATTCAAACTATTTAGGTTCGAGTTTAGGATACGGTTATATAGCTATCTCAAAATATTGCTGTCATCCTTACTCCTCGACCCAACTGCCGCTATCGCCAGTCACCACCATGTAGCCAAAAGAAGTGACAGTTTTCTTACAAAAGCAAAGTTATTACACTTGAAATGCGAAAAAAAATGAAAGTCTAATCTCTATAACAAAAAAAATAAATCCAAATTTGAACTTCTGTTTAAAATCTCTAAACAGTATCTTGAATAAAATAGTCATAAGTTAGCTTCACGGCACTCCGTCCATTTTTGCCATCTAAAATAAAGCAACACACATTTCAATGCAAAGTCCAATAAGGTTGTATTATTTAAAATATTTGGGATCTAATGCGTGCCACTTCTAAAGTTGCGGGCTCCCTCTCCCTCCCTCCATCTTTCTTCATCTGAAAACTTGAAGAAACGGATGTTTCTATGCAAAGTTAAAGAGGGGTGTGTTATGTGAAAGTTTAGGATCCAGGGTATATCACTTCAAAAGTTTGAGAGATTTGTGCTATTTATCCTTAATTTCTTTAAATCCCGAGTTTTACTTTTGAAAAGTCACGTGTATCGTACATGTTAAAAGAAAAATGGACGGATTTGGATAACTACAGTACAATGAAAGTTCCAAGTGTGCAGTGTAATAGTTGAAAATTCTGGGCTAAAAGAATATTAACCCCAAAATTTGGGGAGATTTTGTGTAATTTACCCAAAAAGATCCATGTCTTGTACCTTTTAAATTTGGAGTAAAGGTCCTCCAACAATGGATTAGTTAGCGTCATATGTATGTGATAGTTGATTTCACTATCAATCATGATAAGCCTTTTCTTTTCTTCCCCTCTTGTTCTTGGTGTTACTTCAATTCCGCCTTACATGATATCAAGAAGTGTGCTTCTATCTTTTGCTCCAACAGTGGTTCAAGTAAAAGCATTTTTTTTCTTTTTTTTTTACATATATTTAAGTGGTCAGGTGATGTCTGGGCTTATTTATGCGCACTACTATTGATCCACCTCCTCGTAAGGGCGTACTCCCTCACATTGGCTTGGTGCATTCATAATCTTACTCCTAAAGTGCTAATAAGAGCATTTCAGGAATACATAGATGACGCAAACAAAATGCAAATCTTTAAAGGAAAAAAGACACCTCGAGCATGGACTATAGACAGGTTGGGTTGCAAAACACCCAAACAAAATCCATGAAATCATAGGCTGGCATGAAAGCTTGACTCAGATCAGGAATTTTGTTCTTACGTGTGGATAAGGTGATCGACTACAGGGTGGTGAACAGCCAGCCAATTAGCATCACAGATCCTTTCTTTGAACATGATTCGATGTAATCTCATATGAGACTGGGCCAAGCCGGGAATTTTGGTTTTTCAAATTTGGTTTGCCTAGGAAATACATAAGACCAAAAGGCATCTTGCAATCAGTTGACACCTAATTTTGCCCGGTTTGTTAAATCAACACTTAATTTGTAAATGGGCCAAAATTAGTGCAAAGGAGAGGTAAAATTATTATAAAAAATAAATAAATAATATATTAAAAAAAATTAAAAATTTAGAGAAAGGCCGGCCGGCCTCGGTTCAGCAACTCCGGCCCCCCATTCTATCTCCTTTTCATTTTTACATCAACCCGAACCCTCCTTCTTCTTCTTAGGCTCCGTTCGTTTGGCGGAAAATATTCTCCTTTTGGAAAATATTTTCCCGGAAGTCATTTTCCTGGAAAATGTTTTCTCGGAACATAATTTTCCGGTGTTTGGCGATCAATATGAAAAAGTTTCGGAAAATATTTTTCGCCGGCGACCTGCGGCGGGTACCCCACGTGACACGGCAAAAGCTGGCGGCGGCCGCTCGGACGGCGACCGGCAATGAGCGGCAATTAGCCAGTGGCGCGGCGGATGAGGGGGAAGGAGGAGTTTGGCGGAAAATGATTTCCGCTTCTGAAAAGCGGAAATCATTTTCCGCCAATTTGGTCATGTTTTCCCTCATTGATGGGAAAATGTTTTCCGCCCCCGAACACCGGAAAACCCGGAAAATATTTTCCTGAAAAACATTTTCCGCCAAACGAACACAGCCTTAGTTTTTCTTTATTTTCTCGCTACGGCCCACGAGTGCCCGTCGTCGCCCTACGCTCGGGCCCTACGCTCCCGGCCACTCGGCCCTACGCTCGGGCCCAGCCCCTATTCTATCTCCACCTCCCGCTCCTTGAGGGCGGTTCAAAGGAGCAGGGGGTAGGGAAGAACCGAGAGAGGAGGGGAGGGAGAGAAGGAAACGAAGCCAAGGAAGAATGGAGGAGGCGCTGGAGGAGACCGAGGGGGAACGTGAGAGAAAGGATGAAAGGATAGGGGTTTTTGGAGAGGAAAAAGCGCGCTCCGGTTCCGCTTTCGGGGAGGATCACCGGCCATAGTTTCCGACCGTCCATCGCCTCGCCTCGACCGAAGACCATCCGGCCCTGTAATCCGCCCGGACCGAGACCAAGTTGCCACGAAATCAAGCCCCTAACTGTGGTGAAGAGTCGAGCGCAGCCTCATCCTCCGCCGACTTCGCCGATCCTGTGCCCTTCCCGAACCAGGTAACTCCTCCATTTTATGCTTTGTTTGGTCCTGCTTTTTCGGCTCGAGAAGGCTGAACCAAACCAGTGATTTTTTGAGCAAATCGTGCGAAACCGAAACAATTCCACGATGATTTGTGATAGTTTAGAGATTAAGACTCGGTGTTTGGACTGAGAAATGCTTTAAAAGTGTGCCTAGAATTCATATTCTTCAACGCATGCTAACTGTTCGTTGAAATGTCTGAACGAAATATTACATGCCTAGAACACCGAAGTCGATCGTGGAGTTTCTGAGTGAGATGTTGTAAACTGAGATGGATTTGATATGAAATATGCCAGTTTAGATCTTTATACATCATGAATGAGCCGAAAATTTCATTGAATCTCACTCTAGAGCATGTATCTCAACTTGCATACCACGTGTTCAACGAAATGTATAAATGGAAATCCGAATGTTTTTTTGTTGAATCGATGCTTGGAACTCGGTTTTTATGCTTGATTAGTCCTTATATTTGTCAAATGGTGGCTGAATATGTGTTTTTCCTCAGTTTTGTGGCATATACGTCATTCTTTCCCGAGTCGACCGCAGATAAATCTTCCACCGGAACGCCCTTCCTTTGCCGGAGTGATGTGCCCGCGGTTTGAGGCCGCTCCTGTCAGTTTTCTATCTCTGTTTCATGTGGGTGTAAGCTCGTTTGTTTAGACTTAGTATCTGTTGTTGTGGCCATAAGTTGATAGCCGGAAAATAGAAATAGTCACCGGCGTTGAAGACAATTGCCGGCCTGTTGATGGCTGTGAGCGGAGACTAGAGAAAGTGGCTTGGTGATAGCCGGAAATGGAAGGCCGTCAGCTGTCGACGATTGGCCAGTCGGAGCGCCGGTGTGAGGTTCATGGTGAAAAAATGGTCTCGGTGAGAAGATGTGAGGAACCAAAAGGGGATAAAATAAAGAGAAAGAAATAGCAAAGAAAGAGAGATAAAAAAAAAAGTAAAAAAGAAAAATAGAAAAGAAAAGGAATAAAAAATTAGAGGGAAAAAGAAATAGAAAAAAAAGAGAGATTAAAAGGGAAAATAGAAAAATAAATATAAAAAAAGGGAAAATAAATATAAAATTGGGGTCTAATCTAGTCGGGTCGGATCGGTGAATCGGACCGGGACCTTTGACCCTGTCCGAAGTCCTTTTTTATTTATCGGTAATTAAAAAATATTAAAATATTAAGAAATATTTAAAATAATAATAAAAAATTCATAAAAATTCAGAAAAATTAGGAAAGGTTTAGAAATTAGTTTTTGGGTTAATTTCATTAGATTTTAGTGTTAATTTCATTCTAGACTTAGCATAAAAAAATAGAAAAAAAAAGTGAAAACCTTTAAAAATTGCTCCAAAAAATTGAACAAGCCATTATGGCTTTACTTTAGGGCTTTTGATTGCATTTTCTTTTTTAGAGATGATGCTAGGTTTCTGATTGTTTATTTTCATGTCGATTATTTGGTTGCGTACCTTTAATACATTGGTTGTTATTTTCCATTTTTAGCATGGTTAGAGTGAGGTTTAGTCTTCTTGATAGGCTGCCATGGTGCGTTAGTTAACAAGCGATCAAGTTTAGGTACCAAAAGGGCACTAGTTAGATCACTAGTGTAATCAAGTCCCAAATCTTTAAAATCTCTGGTTACGTACATATCAAGATGACACTCCCTCGTCTTGATGAGAATTTCTAGCCAACCCTTGATTATGGCTAGTGGTGACTCCAATTGAATGCATAATTTAGACAATTCTCGTCGCATGAGGTATGAGGCTTAGGAGCACCTCGGTCCTTAGATTAATGAACTATTTGATTTGTCTTTCAAACGAATCAATGAATGTTCACATCCATCGAAAAATACCTCTTGACGTATACCTATACCTATAATGAAGGAAAAAAAAAGTCGGCACTCTCCTGTTAATATGGCCACTAGATTTCACGTCCTTGGAGAAAGAAAAAACAGAAATGAGAGATTAAGAAGCCGGCAAGATACTATCCATGAGTCTTCTGGTGGTGTGGCCGTACTGCTGGCCACCATGGCTTTCCTAGTTAGCATGTCTCCACCCGCCAGGGTTAGGCATGATGATATAGAGGGTGGTAAAAATCATATGGCACGTAGTGCTGGTACCTCCGTCACGGCCCACAAGTTCCCCAATGAGTACAAGTTTTTTGTAATGTGCAACACGATTAGCTTCCTTGCGTGCCTCAGTGTGATTTTAATCCTCATAAGTAGTTTGTCTCTGTAATATCCAGGACAAGACAGTCCGTTTAGCATCGACAGTTATTTTTTTTATTTTCCCAATAAAGAAGCCATGAGTGGTTGAGCCGTTGGTTGCACAGTTAAGGACATAAAGTGTGGATACTCCGCTTAGAATGGACGATTGTTTTTTATTTTTATTTTCTAAAATAAGACTTGTGAGGTGCTTATAAAAAGGTATACGGGAGCTTTTAAGTTGGTACTCGCATATTCCCCCTCTTCCGAATATCTTTCAATACAAAAAAGAAACGAAAAAGTCGACACTCGCCTGTTAATATGTCCACTAGATTCCACGTCCTTGGAGGAATAAAAAACAGAAATGAGAGAATGAGAAGCTGGCAATATACTATACACAAGAGTCTTATGGTGGTGGCCGTACTACTAGCCACCATGGCCTTCCAAAATAGCATGCCCCCATTCGACAGGGTTTAGTAGGATGATATGGAGGGTGGCCAAAATCATATGGCACGTACTGCGGGTACCTCCGTCACGGCCCACAAGTTCCCCAATGACACAAGTTTTTGGTAATGTGCAACACGATTAGCTTCCTTGCATGCCTCAGCGTGATTTTAATCCTTATAAGCAGTCTACCTCTGTAGTATCCAAGATAGGACAGTCTGTGTAGTATCGACAGTTTTTTTTTATTTTTCCAAAAAAGAAGCCATGAGTCGTTGAACCGTTGGTTGCACCTTTAAAGGTATGAAGTGTGGATAGTTCGCTTAGAATGGATGAATGTTTTTTTTTTATTTTCTAATATTAGACTTCTCAGGTGCTTATAAAAAGGCATGCATGAGCTTTTAAGATGGCACTCGCATATTCCCTTTATTTCGAATCTCTTTCAATACAAAAAAAAAAAAAAAAAGTCGGCACTCTCCTGTTATATGGCCACTAGATTCCACCTCCTTGGAGGAAGGAAAAACAAAAATGAGAGAATGAGAAGCTGGCAAGATACTATACACAAGAGTCTTATAGTGGTAGCCGTACTACTAGCCACCATCGCCTTCCAAGTTAGCATGTCCCCACCTAGCGGGGTTTGGCATGATGATGTGGTGGGTGGCCAAAATCATATGGCACATACCGCGGCTACCTCCTTCATGGCCCACAAGTTTCCCAATGAGTACAAGCTTTTGGTAATGTGCAACACCATTTGCTTCCTTACGTGCCTCAGCGTGATTTTAATCCTCATAAACGGTCTACCTTTGTAATATCCAGGAGAGGATAGTCCGTTTAGTGTCGACAGTTATTTTTTTTTAATTTTCACAAAAAAGAGCCACAAGTCATTGAGCCGTTGGTTGCACCGTTAAGGACATGAAGTGTCGACATTCCGCTTAGAATGGACGATTATTTTTTATTTATTTTCTAAACTAAGACTTGTGAGGTGCCTAACAAAAGGCATGTAGGAGCTTTTAAGTTGGCACTTGCATATTTTCCCTATTATGAATCTCTTTCAATACAAAAAAAGAAAAGCAAAAGTTGGCACTTGCTTGTTAATATGGCCACTAGATTTCACGTCCATGGATGAAGAAAAAACAAAAATGAGAGAATGAGAAGCTGGCAAGATTCTATACACAAGAGTCCTATTGTAGTGGCCGTACTGCTGGCCACCATGGCCTTCCAAGTTAGCATGTTCCCATCCGGCGGTGTTTAGCAGGATGATGTGGAGGGTGGCCAAAATCATATGGCACGTACTGCGGGTATCTCCGTCACGGCCCACAAGTTCTCCGATGAGTACAAGCTTTTGATAATATGCAACACCATTAGCTTTCCCTCGTGGCTCACCGTGATTTTAATCCTCATAATCGGTCTACCTCTGTAATATCCAGGACAGGACAGTCCGTTTAGTATCAACAGTTTTTTTTTTTATTTTCCCAAAAAAGAAGTCGTGAGTCGTTGGTTGCACCGTTAAGGGCATGAAGTGTGGACAGTCCGCTTAGAATGGACGAATGTGTTTATTTATTTTCCAAAATTAAACTTATAAGGTGCTTATAAAAAGCCATGCGGGAGCTTTTAATATGGCACTCGCATATTTCCTCTATTTCAAATCTCTTTCAATACAAAAGAGAAAAAAAAAAGTCGGGTACTTTCCTGTTAATATGGCCATTAGATTCCACGTCCTTGGAAGAAGAAAAAACAGAAATGAGAGAATAAGAAGCTGGCAAGCTACTATACACAAGAGTCTTATGATGGTAGCCGTACTGCTAACCACCATGACCTTTCAAGTTAGCATGTCCCCACCTGGCGGGGTTTGGCATGATGATGTGGAGGGTGGCCAAAATCATATGGCACATACTACGGGTACCTCATTCACGGCCCACAAGTTCCCAAATGAGTACAAGCTTTTGGTAATGTGCAACACCATTTGCTTCCTTGCGTCCCTCAGCACGATTTTAATCCACATAAGCGGTCTACCTCTGTAATATCCAAGAAAAGATAGTCTGTTTAGTATCGACAGTTATTTTTTTTTTATTTTCCCAAAAAAGAAGCTATGAGTCGTTAAGTCGCTGGTTGCACCGTTAAGGGCATGAAGTGTGGATAGTCTGCTTAGAATGGACAAATATGTTTTTTTATTTTCTAAAATTAAACTTCTGAGGTGCTTATAAAAAGCCGTGCAGGTGCTTTTAAGATGGAACTCGCATATTTCATCTACTTCGAATCTCTTTCAATACAAAAAAGAAAGAAAAAGTTGGCACTCGCCTGTTAATATGGCCACTAGATTCCACGTCCTTGGATGAAGAAAAAATAGAAATGAGAAAATGAGAAGCTGTCAAGATTTTATACACAAGAGTCTTACGGTGGTGGCCATACTGCTGGCCACCATGACCTTCCAAGTTAGTAGGTCCCCACCCGGCGGGGTTTGGAAAGATGATATGGAGGGTGACCAAAATGATATGGTATATACTGCGAGTACCTCCGTCACGGCCCACAAATTCCCCAATAAGTACAAGCTTTTGTAATGTGCAACACGGTTAGCTTCATTACGTCCCTCATCGTGATTTTAATCCTCATAAGCGGTATACCTCTCTAATATCCACTGTAATATCCATTCCTTCGTTAAGGACTGCTGGACGGGACACTCCGTTTAGTATCGACAGTTATTTTTTTTTATTTTCCCAAAAAAGAAGCCATGAGTCGTTAAGCCATTGGTTGCACTGTTAAGAACATGGGAGGTGGACAGTCCCTTCAGATTGGATGATTATTTTTTTATTTTCTAAAATTAGATTTCCAAGGTGCTTATAAAAAGGCATGCGGGAACTTTGAAGACAACACTCATATATTCCCCCTATTCCGAATCTCTTTCAATACCAAAAAAAAAAAAGGTCGGCACTCTTCTGTTAATATGGCCACTAGATTTCACGTCCTTAGAAATGAGAGAATGAGAATCTGGCAAGATACTATACACAAGAGTCTTATGGTGGTGGCTGTACTGCTGGCCACCAAGACTTTCCAACTTAGCATGTCCCCACTGGCGAGATTTGGCATGATGATATGGAGGGTGGCAAAAATCATATGGCACGTACTGCGAGTACCTCCATCACGGCCCACAAGTTCCCCAATGAGTACAAGCTTTTTGTAATGTGCAACACGATTAGCTTCCTTGCATGCCTCAGTGTGATTTTAGCGGTCTGTCTCTGTAATACCCAGGACCGACAGTCCGTTTAGTATTGACATTTTTATTTATTTTCTCAAAAAAGAACCCATGAGTCGTTGAGCTGTTGGTTGCACCGTTAAGGACATGAAGTGTGGATACTCTACTTAGAATAGACGATTATTATTTTTTTATTTTCTAAAATAAGACTTGTGAGGTGCTTGTAAAAAGGAATATGGGAGCTTTTAAGTTGGCACTCGCCTGTTAATATGGCCACTAGATTCCACATCTTTGGAGGAAGAAAAAACAGGAATAAGAGAAATAGAAGCTGGCAAGATACTATACACAAGAGTCTTATGGTGGTGGCCATACTGCTAGCCACCATGGCCTTCCAAGTTAGCATGTCCCCATTCGGCAGGGTTTGTCCGAATGATAAGGAGGGTGGCCAAAATCATATGACACGTACTGCAGGTACCTCCATCACGGCCAACAAATTCCCCAATGAGTACAAGCTTTTGGTAAAATGCAACACGAATAGCTTCCTTGTGTGCCTCAGCGTGATTTTAATCCTCATAAACGGTCTACCTCTGTAATATCCAGGACAGGACAGTCCGTGTAATATCGACAATTGTTTTTTTTATTTTCTAAAAAAAGAAGCCACGAGTTGTTGAACCGTTGGTTGCACCGTTGAGGGCATGAAGTGGACTGTCCGCTTAGAATGAACGAATGTTTTTTTTTATTTTCTAAAATTAGACTTCTCGGGTGTTTATAGAAAGGCAAGCGGGAGCTTTTAATATGGCACTCGCATATTCCCTCTATTTCGAATCTCTTTCAATGCAAAAAGGAAAAAAAATCGGCACTCTCCTATTAATATGGCCACTAGATTCCACATCCTTGAATGAAGAAAAAGCAGAAATGAGAGAATGAAAAGCTGGCAAGATATTATACACAAGAGTCTTATGGTGGTAGCCGTACTACTAGCCACCATGGCCTTCCAAGTTAGCATGTCCTACCCGACGGGTTTTGGCATGATGATGTGAAGGGTGGCCAAAATCATATGACACATACTGCGGGTACCTCTTTCACGGCCCACAAGTTCCCTAATGAGTGCAAGCTTTTGTTAATGTGCAACACCATTTACTTCCTTGCGTCCCTCAACGTGATTTTAATCCACATAAGCGGTCTACCGCTGCAATATCGAGGAGAGGATAGTCCGTTTAATATCGATAGTTATTTTTTTTTCACAAAAAAGAAGCCACAAGTCGTTGAGCCGTTGGTTGCACCATTAAGGATATGAAGTGTGGACAGCCCGCTTAGAATTGACAATTTTTTTTATTTTTCTTTTATAAACTAAGACTTGTGAGGTGCTTATAAAAAGGCATGCGAGAGCTTTTAAATAGGCACTCGCACATTCCCCCTATTTTGAATCTATTTCAATGCAAAAAAGAAAATAAAAAGTCGACACTCGCATGTTAATATGGCCACTAGATTCCACGTCCATGGATGAAGAAAAAACAGAAATGAATGAAAAGCTAGCCAGATTCTATACACAATAGTCTTATAGTGGTGGCCGTAGTGCTAACCACCATGGCCTTCCAAGTTAGCATATACTGCGGTAGGGTTTGGAAAGATGATATGGAGGGTGGCCAAAATCATATGGCACGTACTGCGGGTACCTCCGTCACGGCTCACAAATTCCCAAATGAGTACAAGTTTTTTGTAATGTGCAACATGATTAGCTTCCTTACGTCCCTCAGCGTGATTTTAATCCTCATAAGCGGTCTACCTCTGTAATATCCATTGTAATATGCATTCTTTCGTTAAGGACCGCTGGATAGGACACTCCGTTTAGTATCAACCCTTGTTTTTTTATATTTTCCCAAAAAAGAAGCCATGAGTCATTAAGCATTTGGTTGCACCGTTAAGGACATGAAGCGTGGATAGTCCGTTTAGAATGGACGATTGTTGTTTTTTTTTCCTTAAAAAATTAGACTTCTGAGGTGCTTATAAAAAGGCATGCGGGTGCTTTTAAGATGGCACTCGTATATTCTCTCTATTCCGAATCACTTTCGATACAAAAACAAAAAAGTCGACACTCTCCTTTTAATATGGCAACTAGATTCCACGTCCTTGGAGGAAGTAAAAAACAGAAATGAGAGAATGAGAAGCTGGCAAGATACTATACACAAGAGTTTTATGGTGGTCGCCGTACTGTAGGCCATCATGGCATTCCAAGTTACAATGTCCCCACCTGGCAGGGTTTGGCATGATAATATGGAGGGTAGCCAAAATCATATAATGCATACTGCGAGTACTTCCGTCACGGCCCACAAGTTCCCCTATGAGTACAAGCTTTTCGTAATGTGCAACATGATTAGCTTCCTTGCGTGCCCCAGTGTGATTATAATCCTCGTAAGCGATCCGTCTCTGTAATATTTAGGACAGGACAGGCAGTTTAGTATCGACAATTGTTTTTTTTTTTCCCAAAAAAGAAACCATGAGTCGTTGAGTCATTGGTTGCACCGTTAAGGACTTGAAGTGTGGATAGTCCGCTTAGAATGGATGATTATTATTTTTTTTTCTAAAATAAGACTTGTGAGGTGCTTATAAAAAGGTATACGGGAGCTTTTAAGTTGGCACTCGCATATTTCCCCTATTCTGAATCTCTTTCGATACAAAAAAGAAAAGAAAAAGTTGGCAGTTGTATGTTAATATTGCTACTAGATTCTACGTCCTTGGAGGAAGAAAAAACAAATATGAAAGAATGAGAAGCTAGCAAAATACTATACACAATAATTTTATGATGGTGACCGTACTGATAGCCACCGTAGCCTTCCAAGTTGGCATGTCCCCACCTGCGGGGTATGGCAGGATGATGTGGAGGGTGGCCAAAATCATATGGCACGCACTGCAGGTACCTCCGTCACGGCCCACAAGTTCCCCAAGGAGTGCAAACTTTTTGTAATGTGCAACACGATTAGCTTTCTTGCATGGCTCAATGTAATTTTAATCCTCATAAGTGATTTACCTCTGTAATATCCGAGATAGGACAGTCCGTGTAATATCAACACTTGTTTTTTTTTTTTTATTTTCTCAACAGAAAAGCCATGAGTTAAGGGCATGAAGTGTGGATAGTCTGCTTAGAATGGACGTATATAT